GTTGTTTCATCTACGTGCATTATATAATTAAGTGTATCAAAAACCATTACAGAACATCATGAATAGAGAAGTGACCAAATTAATACAAGTTCATCATCACATTAAAACCAAAGTACAGTAGTTATCAAATGTTATTACTGAAAAAATAAATACATAAAGTTCATACATAGTTCTCATAGAACAATATATAGCTCTCTAGAGCATCTAATTAAAACATACATTCAAACTAACATACAACTATGAAAAACATTTAAATGCAACAACAAATGCGATCATAATCGCAACTAAGGTAACAATTGATTCAACAACATAATGATACCAAGCCTCAGTATCAATGGCATTTTCTAATCTTTCTAATCTTCAAATGCATTGCATCCATCTGGATCTTGTGATCATCGACGTCATCGGCAACATGCAAATCCAATTCTATCTTCTCCTCCATAATTCTTTTCAATTTTTTCTTCAAGTAATCGTTTTTCTTTTTCAACTAAATTTAACCTCTCGACAAGAGGGTCGGTTGAAATTTCCGGTTCGCATACCTCCTAGATAAAAACATCTATGTCACGTTGGCCAGCATAATTGTCATAAACACTAAATGAAACAAATAGTTATAAAAGATAATATACCACATCCGAATCATAGACAGGACGAGGGCCCACGGGGGTGGATACCAAAACCATTGCACTATATAATAACAAACAATAATAAAAGTAAAAAAATTATACAAGTATCTATCTAAATCATACAAGTAAGATTTTTTTTCTTTCAGAAAGAAGATAAGAACATGAAGCTCACCACGGTGGTGCCGGCGACGAGATCGGCGCGGGCGATCGGCGGCGGTAAGGAAGGGGACGAGACGAGACGGGAGGGACCGCCAAACCCAGACAAATCTTGGGGAAAATGGAGCATGGAGGTCGAGCTTGGAAAGGAGAAAGCTTAAGTGTGGCTCGGGCATTTCATTGAACACCTTAGGGCAGGGGCATATATATAGGCATCTCTTTAGTCCCGGTTCCAGCCACCAACCGAGACTAAAGGGGTTGCGCCAGGAGCGAGGACCTTTAGTCCCGGTTCGTGTCTGGAACCGGGACTAAAGGGGGGCTGGTGCCTGCCGAGGCCCGGCCGGGGCCCTGGCCTCGATTAATGCACCCATTGGTCCCGGTTCGTAACAGAATCGGTATTAATGCTCTTATCTGGCCTGGACTAAAGCCATGTCTTCTACTAGTGAGGTGTCATCATGGTCACCCCCTCCCCACATTAATGGGCGTTCGGGGTTGCATGTTGTTGTTTTGTGATGGTCGTCGCCATGCTACAATGGGCATCTGGAGCTGCGGAGCTGCTTTTTTTTATGGTCGTCGTGTCGTATTGCAATGGTCGTCCTGGAATGGGCATCGTTGTGTTGTGAGGGCATCTCCAGCCGCACCCCTAACAGCCCCCCAGCCCATTTTTTAGCGCCCAAAAACGGCCCAGCCGCGCCCCCAAGGTCTCTTTTCCGCCGGTTTGGGCCGAAATAACAGCCGGCGAACCCGAGCCAAACCCAAGCCCCCGGGGGTCGCCTGGGGGCGTCGGCCGAAGCAAAAAGGTGCGTCGGACTGCTCTGTCGGCGAGAGAAGGCCCTTTTCCCACTGATCCCCCTTCTTTTCCCCCTCCATTTCCCTCCATTTCCTCCTTTCTCCCGCCATTCTCCTCCCTCTCCCCTCCATCCGGCCGCCATGCCGCCGAAAAAGTACGCTGCCCCTTGCGCCGCCACCGCTATTGATGCCGACGCCACCTAGCCGAAGCAGAGGAAGCCGAGGGCACCGCCGTCCAAGCCCCCGAGCATGTCAAACGCCGACTGGAAGGCCGAGGTACAGCGCCGGGAGGCTGTCACCACCGACCGGCGGAACAGGCTCAATGCCAAGAAGGCCCGGGACAGGGCGGCGGCGGCCGCGGCCGCGGCGGAGCAGGCAGATCACGGCGGAACAAGCTGAGGCGGCTCGCGCGGGGATGATTAATCTGCCCGACGGCCATGGCCCGCACGTTCCCTGGAGCCGGCAGAGCGTCGGGTCGCCGGCCCGGTTCTCGTCGTCGACACACCCTTGGGGGTGCACGCCCTCGCCTTGCTACGCTGACGGTGATGCGCACGGCGGGTTCAACCCCAACATCACCTTTCCCCATGGCCACCCCGCCCAGCACACGCCCTCACCCGCGTTCGTCGGAGTCCAGTACCCCCCGTACACCTACTCGTCGCCCGCGTACGCATCCTCCCCGACACCACCTCTGCGTCGTGGCGCACTGCCCTTCTCACAAGCCTCGTCGTCTTATCTCAGCAACCCTGACAGGACGGAGGCCGACATGGATAACATCTTCACAACCGGCTCCGCCGCCGCCGCCTCCCCCGGGTTCAATGCCCAAGAGGATACAATGGACCTCGACGATGGCATGGACGACGAGCTCGAGTCAAAGGACGAGGAGGAACCGGCGCCTGCATCGGCGAGGAAAGGGAAGAAGAAGAAGCGGGCGGCCAGGACCGGCGAGCCGCGCGTCAACTGGGTGTCCAAAGAAGACGAGTGCCTCCCTGAAGCGTGGAAGGTCGTCTGCCTCGATCCTATCACTGGCACAAACCAGAACGTTGAAACGTACTGGGAGCGCATCAAGTCGGAGTTCGATGAGCGCAAGCTGGTCGACCCCTACTTTGCCATCGTCCACATGCAGCGCGGCGCCAAGGCCATGTCCAACCATTGGGCGCTCATCCAAACGGCGTGGAACAAATGGCATGGGTCGTTGACGAGATTGCGGCTCACCCAAAGAGCGGCGCCAACTACGAGAGTCAGGTATGACGCTGGTCCCTCAGTCTTTTTCCACCGTGTGTGTCGCCGACCCTTGTTCCTCCTCGGCGCAGATGGTCCGGATGTTTGCCATGTATCGCTAGGACAACATCTCTGACCAAGATTTCAAGTACATGTGTTCTCCCGGATCGAGAAGTGCGAGAAGTGGGCGGAAGTCCGGCGCACCCTCGCCAAGGCCAAGGAGACGTACAAGCCAGACGCGCCGATGCCGGACACGGCCGATGGGCGCCTTGAAGGCAACAAACGCGCCAAGTCGGCGAAGAACGCCGTGTCGGCCACCGCGCGTCTACAAGAGTCCATCGAACACTGCATCGCCGACGCCAAGACATCGAGCCGCCCAGAGGGAAGAGAAAACCGAGGCACGATGGTAGGCTTTGATGATGACCAGCGCCGCCAAGCTCAACCTACTCCAGACCAACGTCGCCCTGCCCCGGACCAACGTCGCCGCGAAGAAGAGAAACACCGACCTGGCTTTCCTGATGGGGTGGACATGTCGACGATGGACGAGTAGGTCAAAGCGTGGTTCCTGGTGGAGCGTGGCCTCATCCTAAACGAGATACCGACGACGGCAGAGCCAACTCCCACGCCGACACCAACGCCGCCGCCAAGCCCAAGCGACGCCCCCACAGCGCCCGACATAGAAGCCGCGCCGACGCCGACCAGCCCGCACACGCCAACTCCCGCCAGCCCGACGTCGGAGGACGGCGCCACCGTTTGATCGCCCTCAGTGCCTACGCGGCCTTTCTTTTTTGAACGCCGAACTTTCAAGTTATTGGTCGCCGAACTGTGGCATGATGATCGCCGGACTTGTGGATTGATCGCGTGACTTGAGGCTTTTTTTGGTAGCGGGAAATGTATGTTTGGATTTAAACATCTTGGGGATCGGACCTTGAGGGCGTGGCTGGGATCTAGATCGCCCCCGGGGCCTATAAAGCGCCGGGCGATGAGGCGAAATAGCATCAGCCGCTGCGCTGGGGGGCCGAACAGGTGGAGTTGCTCCGAGGCTTGCTTCAAGCAGTGGTACTAGGCACCGCCGAAGGTGCATGCCATTTAGTGCAGCAAACGCGGTGGCTATTTTACTCCATTAGCGCATAAGGACGGATAATTGCTGATGTCATATCAGGCTAATCAAAGACTGGCGAGGCGGCTGATACCACCCAATATTTATTCCATGTATCTGCTAAGGGTGTGGCCACGTCTTGGTCAACTGAGGCCCTGTTTGGTTCATAAGTTTTAAGACTTTTTCTAATCCCAACTAAAAAGTCCCTAGTTCTTAAAAAGTCTCTCCCTATTTGTTTCCAGAGACTAAAAAGTCCGTAGTCCCTTCCTAGAGGTTATTAAATGACCATGTTGCCCCTAGTGTATACTCCCTCCTTTCCGATTTATTAGACTCAATTCAAAAATCTCACCAATCAAGATAGATGATGGGTGGTGGAATACCTTTTGGAGTTTACAAAAGCACACAAAAAGTATGTTTACCAATGCATTAATTGCAATGCATGCATGCATAAATTACATGCATTGGTCAATTTTCTCTTAATTCTTGCATGCAATGATTTAATGCACCTTGAAATCTGAACATATGATGGGAAACAACCAAATTGAGCCTTATAAAATAGAAAAACTAAAATTTTGAGATAAGCCCTATAAATCAAAAATGAGGAAGTAGAAAAATAACAATCAAACAGTACCAGGAGGTGGCGAGCCAATGGATGCATGGAGGGGTCACAAAAAGTCCCAAAAAAAACTCTCCTTAAGAGTCTTCTTCATTTAGTCCCAAATGCCTAGTTTAGTCCCTAAAAAGTCTCTCCCGTTTGGTAAAAAATCTCTAAGAGGGACTTTTTCTAGTCCCTACACTAAAAAGTCCCTGGAAACAAACACCCCCGAGACTTAACCAGTTTTAGTCAAATGACATATTGTATAAGAAGAAAAATTCCATGCAAAGATAAAAGGAATATAGAATCGACGGAGACATAGAGTGAGACTTAGCCATCCTGACATGCTAAATGTCACCTGACCTGATCCATTACATATTATATTTAGCTAACGCAACGTAACAATAAAGTAATAACACACAGAAATAACCAAAAAGCTACAAATATCTACTCCATATATCTGCTAAATGTCACCTGAACTGATCGACATGGTCAGAAACTACAGACGGCCATAACAAGTTCAAAACTTCTTCTTTCCTTTTTTCTCTTGAATGGGGGAGGCCGGGCAGCAAGTGAATGGCATTCCGAGATATTCAGAGAGCACACGAGGCTTGAGTTGTTGTTCAATCCTGTCCTTGTCATTTCCACAAAGAAACTTACGGGAACCCACAGGGTGCAAAATGTCCCAGTTGGCAGGACAGAATGCGCAGCTCCTCCTGTATTTGTCAAGAGGCTCTTCTGCAAGCCCGTGCATGTTAACACATTAATCAAAACTAATGAAGCAGTAAAGAAGATAAGATAAGAAGTTACAGGCACAGATACATACCAATGACGATGCACACTTCAACGATGGGATTTGGATCGTAGTGCACCTCAGCAAAAAATCGCTTGATCTTATTGCTTTTGCGGCTGCGAGCCCAGAAGTTGACGTGGACCCACAGCTGATTCCTGAAGCTAGCATTGGATTCCATCAGAGGCTTCACAACATCAAACTCGTCACCCTGCAGAAATTACATGACATGTCATGAAACACACAGCAGGAAATAATTGCGATGAACTTGATCAGGACCAATTAAATTACTCCTTGAATGAAAATAACTGCATGTACCGGGTGCCTGGCATTGTAATGGCGGATAGCATGGCGGACGTGAGGCATGATGGAGGAGTCGCGCGTTCTGCATCAAATGAAATTGGTGCAATTCATTTAATATGTCAGTTGTCTAACATGCGAGCGAGCATAAATAAAAGACACTCTGCCCTACTTCTGAATGCGAACAAGTCTTCTCATTAAGCCACATCATAATCAACAAAATTGGAGCCGATGGGTAATCTCAGAAAAACCCTTTCCATAATGTATTTCTCCAGCCATGGGTGTCATGACAGTGTGCAAAAATGAACAATTGGAATTACTCGGTCACATGAACATGTTATGTATATAACTTCCCTTGGAACTTTTTCAATTGGTGCATGAGAAAAGGAAAAAATAATCAAAAGGCCTGTGTCCAAGATATATACTCCCTCCGTCCAGAAATAACTGTCGCTCAAACAGATGTACGTTTAGATACATCTGTTTGAGCGACAGTTATATCTGGACGGAGGTAGTAGTTGTTTGACTTCAACCAATGTTGTCAAAGACTCATAATTCATTCCAACACAGGCCAACGAAAGAAGAGTTTGAATAAACATGCCTATGCTTGAAGAGTCAGTAGCTCTTCAGTTGAAACAAAAGGTGAGGATGGCACTCTGTCTATGTCACGACTGTCAAAGATAATCTTTTGTTGGACATAAGTAGATCTACCTGTGCTATGCGCAAGCAGACATCACATGACCGAATTAATCTGCAGTAGCATGATATTTTTAAAATTAATTGCTGCTGTGATCCTCGAGTTTGTTCCTTCCAGGTTTGACGAGAAGAATTCCTATAAAGCTCCAAACCAAGAAACTTGGTGCAGGATAGTTTATGCATCACTACCATCTGTTAACAGCACTCAAGTGTGTACTAACTACTAAGTGATTGAACATACTTTCAACTGTAAGTAGGAACTGCCTAATTTAGTTCATATTCTGGACTTAAGATAGGACAGCACCCAAACAATGTCTCACGGTTATGCTACTTTCGATCAATAACTTTAATGTAGGAACTGGTGCGCACTTGCAATTGTCAGAAACCTTTACAGCAGGGATGCCTGTTTCAGGCGGACAGGGCATACCCTTCTGAGTGGGTCGAAGGTAATGGAGGGCACTTCTTACTCCATCGCTTCACTTTGCGCTCGTGCTCACCCAGTTGGCTCTGCAATCGTACCCGCTCCTCACGTGACAGCTGTGGCAGCAGGTGCTCCAACGATGGACCGATAAATGGCTCAAATCCTTCCAAATTCAGCCTAGAAGATCCCATAATTGATTTGGCAATACACTCCGGCTGAAAGTGATCTGTAGAAGGAATATGTTATTACTTATCTGCAAAGGATATTCAAAATAAGAGGGCAACAAAGAATTCAATGTGGTTGGTATTAACAATTAACAATGATTGTAGATGGTTATCCTATTAAAGCTCCGATATTATACACAGCACAGCCGATGCAATTATCTAATACACCGAATGAAAATAGAAGAATCGCCACTGACAATATTTGCATCAAACTGAACATTTACTAACATTGCAATCACCGCTTGCTAAAATCATCGCAGACAACCATCGCACACCAGGTTAGGGACAGTTTATCGTAATTAGTATTGAAATCGCAGCAGGTATTTATATCACTTAAATCCTCGAATCGCAGGCAATCATCACAGAGAAAAGGAACTTTTCCTCTCAACACACTCTAACCTGGTAGTTCAATTGCCTTTTTTCCAGAGCCGCGCGTGCAGATCTAAGGTACAAGATAAGATAAGAGGAAGAGAGTTTACGCGCCGACGAAGGTGGTTGGCGTCTGGACTCCAACGTCAGGCAGCAAACCAAGAGGCGCGCCGGCGTCTGCTCCGCAGGCGGCAGGAGGAGGGTGGGGGACGAGCGGCGGCGAAGCGTGTGCGCCGGGAGGGGAACGGCCGAAGAGGAGTCCGGGGGATTTGGGGTTCCCTATTTATCGCTTCTAGCGATATTTTTTTTAAAGAGATGAGAGAAGCTTCTAGCGACTATTATGGACGAGTCGCTGACGTCCCGTGGCGCGCACCGCTCGCCTTGGGCCAGCCAGGAAGCACGCCAGTCGTTCAACAATTCGGTTCAGAGTTGAGTGGGAAGGAAAACCCTATGCGCCGCTCACTGCGTCAAATTGTCGACAAAACGCACAGGCATAGCATCGCTAGCAACGGCCGGCCCATTATACGAGAGTTAGCCAGCCGGTTTTGGCAACCTTCTAGAAGGTTACTTGAACCGTTTTTTCCTTTTTGACCGGTTTTCCTGTTTCTTCTTTGGTTTTTTCGTTTTTCTTTTCCTTCTTTCTTTTCCTTTTTCTGTTTTCTGTCTGTTTTTTCGTTTCTTCAGAAAATTGTTCGGAAAATTCAAAATTTGTTCGTTTCAAAACGTTTAAAATTCCCAAAAAATGTTCATGTTTTTTTTCATAAATTCAGAAAATGTTCGCATTTTTCAAAAATTGTTCGGGCATTTCAGAAAATGTTCTTGTTTTACAAAAATTGTTTGGAATGTTTTTGTTCAACTTTTCTACAATTTTTTTTAAAATGATCCTGTTTTCATAAACTGTTCACAAATTCCAAAATTTGTTCATGTTTTCATTTTTTTCAGGAGTTTCAAAAAATGTTCCAGTTAAAAAATTGTTCACAAATTTCTATAAAATCATGTTTGCAAATTTTGTTCAGGGATTTCAAAATATGTTCATGTTTCCAAATTTTGTTTTGAAATTTGAAAAAATGTTCTCGTTTCAAAAAAATTGTTCAAGATTTTCAAAAAAATGTTCTTGTTTTGATAAAATGTTATAGTTTTTAAAATTTTGTTCACAAATTTTTGGAAAGTGTTTGCGTTTCACAGAACATTCCATTTTTTGAAAAACAAATTGCTTCCGAAATTCCTAAACTGATTTGGATCTGTGCAGAATGTTTGGTTCTTTAGGATCGATGCTACTCTTAAACTAGCTACACCTGCTAGCTCAGTTGGTAGGAACACTTCCTGTATAGATGTGCGTCATGTGTTCGAATCCTGACAATAACATATATGTTTTTTAGCCTCAGTGCGCTTTCGATTTCGGTTTGCTCCCTTCATGAGCCGGCCCAGTCGAAGCCCCGCCTATGCGAAACGGCAGCAACTTCGCAGAGAGCGTCGCATAGGAGGTCTCGAGTGGGAATACCTCAAAGCAAAGAGCAACACTTTTTGTGCACTCAAGCTTGATATGATAAAAGTATATGACAGAGTTGAGTGGGAATACCTCAGAGCGATAATGGAGAAGCTAGGCTTTGGGGCACCCTGGATTACTGTCATCATGAACATGGTCAGCTTTGTCTCTTTCTCAGTGATGTGTAATGGACAAAAGTTGGAAGAATTCAAACCTACACGTGGCATTCGACGGGGAGATCCCATCTCTACTTACCTTTTCTTGTTGGCAGCGAAGGGCCTTTCGTGCCTTTTAAAATCACAAAAACCGTCATCCCACCTCGGCGGCATTAAGGCGGTACCATCAGCTCTGTCGGTGAACCATCTTTTATTCGCGAATGATAGCTTGCTGGTTTTCATGGCAAATGTTAATGGAGCAGAGGAGATATCAAACCTATTGGAGTCATATTGTATGGCATCAGGACAGAGAATAAACAGGGACAAATCACTCATTTTCTTCAGCAAAGGGACCTCGGAAATAGTTCGAGATGCAATAAAGGTTTTTTTTCATGTTCCTAATGAATCTTTGAGCGATAGCTACTTAGGGATGCCTACAGATGTGGGGCATTCCAAAAATGGTACCTTCAAATATTTGAGTGATCGAGTGTGGGACAAGGTTAAAGGATGGATGAGCAAATGTTTATCAGCGAGCGGAAAAGAGGTCCTCATCAAATCCATAGCCCAGGCCATCCCAGTATATTCTATGTCATGTTTTAAACTCCCAAGAGGCTTATGTGATCATATAAAGTCTATTATCCAGAAGTTTTGGCAGGGTTGCAAACAGGGTCAACGGAAGCCGGCTTGGGTCTCTTGGGATGTGATGATGCGGCCAAAACACTTGGGAGGACTGGGATTCAGAGACTTAGAGCTATTTAACCTAGCTCTGTTGGCCCGACAAGCTTGGAGACTTTTTAATGAACCTTCTACCTTGAGTGCCAGAATACTCAAAGCAAGTTACTTCCCCCGAGTCGACATTACTAGAAGCTCAACTTGGAGCTCGTCCCTCTCAGATTTGGCGAGCAATACTCGAGGGGAGAGATGTAATGAAGCAAGGTATTTTTAGGAGGATTGGGAATGGTCAGACCACATATATCTGGATGAACAATTGGATACCAAAACAACACATACCAAGGCCCATCAATTCCCTAGTGCAAAACCCACCGACGAAGGTGGCGGAGCTACTACAGCCAACCACCAAAGCATGGAACGAGGACTTGGTCCGATCTGTGTTCATACGTTTTGATGCGGATGCTATTTTGAGAATCCCAGTTTGTACGCGCAACATAGAGGACTTCTGGGCGTGGTATCCAGATAAAAAAGGAAGGTTCACTGTCAGCTCGGCATACAAATTTTTGGTTAGCACAAAGCTGCAGCGAGAAGAGTGGTTAGAGGGCAGAACGGGATCATCTTCAGGACAGGAGGAAGAAAGGGCCTGGTCGGCTCTATGGAAAATATCTATACCTTCAAAGATCAAAGTATTTGTGTGGAGATTGGCATGCCATTCACTGCCTATCACAGATGTGTTGCACCACAGAAATATGGCAACCCAGAACACATGCCCTCTGTGTGGGTGCCAGGACTCATGGTGTCATGCTTTGATCTCCTGTACCATGTTGAGGTGCGTGTGGGCACTATCAGACGCAGACATGGCGCTTGCGATGTCAGAACTGGAAGAACAAAGTGCAAAGAGATGGTTGTTTGAATTATACAGCAAGCTGGATCACTCCAAGTTTACAAAAATGGTTGTCAAATTATGGGCTATTTGGTATGCACGAAGGAAAGATTTGTACGAATCAATCTTTCAAGTGTCGCAACAAACCATATCTTTTGTGAACAACTTCCTAGCGGACTTGCAACAACTCCCTCCATGGTGGTGAGCCCGACATTAGCTTTGGTCCGGCCTCAACACTGGCTCGCTCCGGGGTTCGGCGCTGTCAAAGTGAATGTCGATGGAGCAGTAGCACAGAATATGCGTCGTGGAGCTGTGGCAGCACTCTGTCGAGACCAGAATGGCATCTACCTGGGTTCCTCGACGGTGGTCTATGGGGGCATCATTGACCCCATGATCTTAGAAACTTTTGCCTGCAGAGAGGGACTAGCTTTGGCAGATGATCTGGATGCTCATGATGTGGTGATGTCTTCCGATTGTGAGGGTGTAGTCAATGACATCAATAGGGGAACAAATCACACATGAAATTATCGCTCGTAGTTCTAATTTTTCTTCTTGCAAGTTTATTTTTGAGCGTAGAAACTTCAATTTTGAGGCTCACAATCTCGCAAAAAATGCATGTAATCTAGGCATAGGCAGACATGTGTGGTTGGGAAATCCTCATGACCCAACTATTGTACCTATGAACATTTCTCTGAATCAATAAAGCATGCGAGATTTCTCAAAAAAAACAATTTGGTTCAGAAGATTCTAAAAAAAGGATTTTCAAGAAAAAATGATTCTAAAAAAATCAGTTCAAAAAGAAACTCGTCCCCATCCCCCTCACGTGATTACGCGCGCTAGCCCCCATTGAAGGAAATATGCCCTAGAGGTAATAATAAATTTGTTATTTATATTTCCTTATATCATGATAAATGTTTATTATTCATGCTAGAATCTTATTAACCGGAAACTTGATACATGTGTGAATACATAGACAAAACACAGTGTCCCTAGTATGCCTGTACTAGACTAGCTCGTTAATCAAAGATGGTTAAGTTTCCTAACCATAGTCATGTGTTGTCATTTGATGAACGGGATCACATCATTAGGAGAATGATGTGATGGACAAGACCCATCCGTTAGCTTAGCATAATGATCGTTAAGTTTTATTGCTATTGCTTTCTTCATGACTTGTACATATTCCTTTGACTATGAGATTACGCAACTCCCGAATACCAGAGGAATACCTTGTGTGCTAGAAAACGTCACAACGTAACTGGGTGATTATAAAGATCCTCTACAGGTATCTCCGAAGGTGTTTGTTGGGTTGGCATAGATCGATATTAGGATTTGTCACTCCGAGTATCGGAGAGGTATCTCTGGGCCCTCTCGGTAATGGACATCATGATAAGCCTTGCAAGCA